CCCTTCTTTCCTTTTCCCCTCACCCCTCCCTGTTCCACTTTACATTTGAACATTTTCTTCTCATTTCCCAGGATCGGTTACATATTTTGGTCCTGATTTACATTTTCAGTTTCTCACACCAGAGAAACAATATGGTTTGTATACTTGTGTCCTATTTCACTTAAGTGTATGGTTTCAAGTTGCACCCATTTACCTAGAAATGTCTCAAGCTTATCTTTCTCTATGGCACAGCAATACTTCATTGTAGTAAAAAAAAATAACCCACACATTCTTTATCCATTCACTGGCTTATGGGCATTTAGGCTGTTTCCAAGATTTAGCTATTACAAACCACGGTGCTATTAACATAGGTGTGCATATATCACTGTTGCATGATGTTTTTATTTTTTACTTTTTATTTTTATTTTATTTTTTTGGAACCAGGGATTGAACTCAGGCCCTTGCACTTGCCAGGCAAGTGCTTATTCTATTGAGCTATCTCCCTGGCCCCTGTATGATGTTTTTAATTCTTTTGAGAAGATACCAAAAAGAGGAACAGCTGGATGGAATGGAACCTCTAGCTTTAGTTTTTTTGAGGAATGTCCACATTGATTTCCACAGTGTTTGCACCAGTCTATTCTCCCAACAACAGTAGAGAAGGATTTCTTTTCTCCCACAGTCCCACCAGCATTTCCTATTTGTTCCTCTCTTGATGATAGCCATTCTTTCTGGGGCGAGATAGAGTCTTAGTGTTGTTGTAATTTGCATCTCTGGAATGACCAGGGATGCTGAACATTTTTCATATATTTAATTGCTGCTTCTACTTCTTCATCTCCAAGTATCTATGGATGTCAGATGTCCATTTTTGGATTTAAATTTGGGGGCTCCGATTTTTTTTTTTTTTTTTTAGTTTTTAGATGTTCTAGACATTAGTGCTTTGCCTTAGGAACAGCTGGCAAACATTTTTTCCCATGCTGTGGGTTGTCTGCTCACTGTTGGTGGTTTCTATTGCTGTGTAAAGCTTTTTTTTTTTTGGTATTTAGAACAGGGTGTACAAGGTCTCACTGAGTAGATCGGACTCATAGTGATCCTCCTGTTTACAGTCTCCCAAGGGCTGGGATTACAGGTGTGTGCCACCATGCCCAGTCTCAATAACTGTCTCAGTGCGCCCCAGGGGAGGGGCTGGCACAGCCGGCCAGGGCATTGAACTCCTCGCCCCTGTATCTAAGCAGACGCTTTAATCCGCTGAACTATTTGGCTACTCTTGTGTAAAGCTTTTTAATAAGATGAGATCCCAGTTGTTGCTGCTTGATGGTATTTAATGTGCAGTTGATGTTTTATAGTCTTTGCCTATACCACTGTCTTCAACAGTTGTACCTATTCTATCATCCAGCAGATTTAGTGTTTGTTTTAATATTTTTAAAAAATATTTATTTATTTATTCATTTTGTGTGTGTGTGTGTGTGGCCAGCTCAGCCCACCAGGGGGCAGGGGCTGGCTGGCATGTGGTGCTGGGGGATTGAACCATGGTCCCTGTGCTTTGCTTAGCTTAGCTTGCTCTAAGTAGGTGCTTTAGACCACTGAGCCATCTCACCAGCCCCTCTGTTTTAATATTTAGGCATTTGATCTGTTTGGATTTTAGTTTAGTGTATGGTAAAGATATAGGTACAATTTTAATTTCTGGCATGTAGAAAGCCAGTTTGTCCAGCACCATTTATTGAAGAGGCTATCTTTTTTCCAGTAAAGGTATTTAGATAGAAATAACAGAAATGTTAACAGATGTTAACTTTGAGTATGAGATTATTTAAAAATATAATTCATCTGCATAATGCTCATAAACTTCTTTAAACTTAGACATTTAAAAAAACTTGTGGGGTTGGGGAGATGGCTCAGTGGAATAAGCGCTTCCCTGATAAGTGCAAGGGCCTGAGTTCAATCCCCCGGTTCTGCCAAAAATAAAATAAAATAAAATAAAAACTTGTAAAGTTTTAGAAAACTTATAAACATGCAAATACATACACAATATATTTTCATCACATATAATGTAATACACAGGTCAGTCCTGTCTGGTTTTATTTTTTTGAGATACGGTCTTGCTGTATAGTGCAGGCTGGACTTGAACTCACTATGTAGTTGGAACTTGTGGTGATCCTCTTTGCCTCAGCCTTCCAAGTGTTAGGATTACAGGTATAAATAACCATGTCTGATAGTTTTATTTGTTTTTCAAGCAACATATTATTTCAAAGTTTGAACTAATGAAATTTTGTTTGAAAATTATCTGAAGATCTTAAAACCAATGGACTAGTATTCCCTTCTTTCCAGAATATACTTCCTTGTTGATCTAAGAGTTAATAAAACAAAGGAAAAACTTTTTATAAGAAATTAATTGCATTTTTTAATAATAAATCAAAACATACCTTCAGAGACATAAGTGAAAGGTTTATTCCGAATAGAAAGCATTGTGAACAGGTTGAAAGAAAGAGCGACAAAAGTACCAACTAATAATCTTCCCCTAGAAAGAACAAAAATTAACACATTCACCTTTATTTTTTTTTCTTGGTAATATGAATATATCATTTCAGTATGTAGAGAGGCTAAAAGATGCTTCATTGGTCTGGTATTTCTAGGGACAGTATCTCAGCTTGGCATTCTATTCCCTGTCTACTCCTGCTCCTTCGGATGTAAGACAAAAAAAGGTCTCTTAGCATTCATATCTTACAGGTAACTGATGTTGTAAATTTGAGTCAATATTAATGGTATTTGATTTATATTGTATAAATTAGACTTTCCTGAATTAAATGACTAAAATAAACAATGTTCACCAATGTGGCAAGTGTGGGTAAGGCAGACAATACTTTGCTATGGGTACAAAGAAAGATTTAGGAGGTGAAATTTGCAATTACAGGGACTGGCTTAGTGATTGTAATAATGAAGGCTCTACATTGAGATGGAAAGGCTATCCTATGAAGTATGCTAGGCGTGGCAGCTGTTCAAGATGAAAGGATTTTGTTTTTGAAATCACAGCAAAATGTACATGATCACACTGTTACACTCTGAACTCTAATCCTGGACAAAGGAGCTGCTCTAAACAATACAGCAAATAATAATTCAGAGTCAAACTTAATAGCAAATTATACGTTACATTAAAAATAAATCTCACGTGTGTATCTCAGGCTGCTCCAAAAAGCGTTCTGCACTAAAAGAAAGAAAAAATATTAGTAAGTCCTATCAATTATAAAACTAAAAGGATAGATTAAATACATAACCTACTTTAAGATCACAACTATTATTAGCAGTAATGAGACAAGGAGACTGACAAACTATTTTTGTTTTTTTGGTATGAACATTTTTATTATTAAATTTATTGGTACAATTTAGATACACATAATGTTCACATTCATCATAGGGAATTTGTACCTGTACATGAACGATCTCCAATTCTGTTTTTTTCTCAACCCTCTTCCCCTTACCCCTTCCACTCCTTCAAACTACTCTTTATATTTTATGTCAATCTTTCTGTACCAAACCTGTCTCCACGGGTTTGTAACGAGTGTCAAAACATGTCTGACTGAATTTTTTTTTTATTTCATTCTCAGCTATGACTGAATTTAGTTAACAGCAAAAGGTGAAATAAATGAAAAAGGGAAAAATTCTGAGAAACATGAAGCAATTATACTCTTAAGGACTCCAGCATTTGTTATCTTAATTTGTATAACCTTGCAAACCAGATGTATCCCACTGAATTTTATCACATTCCCAATTGTGTCATGGGTGAGCTTTAGAATGATATAAACAAATATACCTTTCCTTTAATATAAAGAGGGCTCCCAGCTGTGCCAAGACTGTGGAGGCGAATACAGCTAGGACTTCTAATCTTTCAAACCTGAAATCAGAAAATTAATTCAATCACCACAATTCTTTCCACTCACAAAAGTCTCCACAGAATACATGGACAGTCATTCATTCGCTCATTTAATACACGTATGTGTAGTCTATTACTGTCAGAATAGAATCAATAGAAGAATAAAAAAATAAAATTCAAAATTAATTTACAGGGGGCCAGGGATCTAGCTCAGTGGCACAAGTGCCTCCCTGGAAAGCACAAGGTTCCAAGTTCAATTCCCGGTTCCAAAAATATAAAAACAAAAACACCAAATTAATTTACAAAAGAGTATCTGTTTATATAATATATATCTTCCAAGGACCCACTTATGGGATGTTTTTATTTTTCTAGAAAAAACTATTATCACAATAATAGGTAATACTTACTTTACCTATCTAATGTTAGATCCTGGACAGAGCTTAACATTATTTTACTTTTTTTTTAATGAGCAGAATATATTTATTGAGAGAAAGAAAGCTCCTGTCCAAGAGAGGGACAGAAGGGGGGCCCAAGCGGGTAGTTCTCCAACATTATTTTACTTAAATGTTAAACACTATGAGGATGAAGCTCCCTTCACTCATTTTATTTATTTATTTTTAAAGAGATAAGAACTTGGCACACAAAGAGGAAAAATAAATGTTTAGAAGACATATGGTGAGTAAGTGGAAAATAAGTTTTTCAAATTCAGGCATGGACTCCAGAATTTGTAACTTTCACCATTTGTTCTATTTTCTCTCTCTTCTAGCCATAACTGCATTTCATTATGAGTATTCTTTACGTACAGTCCCGACGTCAGGGATATTTCATTGTTCACCTTGGTTTTGCCTCATACATGGACTAACACCACCTACCAATCCTTCGGGTAAGCACAGCACTTGTGCTGCTGGAGCAAGCACGACTTGTGGTTAGGTATAAATGTTTAAAATTTCTCAAGGAAGTCGGTACAGAAAAGAAAACAAAGATGTTCCTTACATGTTGTAAGGAAAAATGTAGGAACCAACAAGAGAACATTATGCTTTATTAAAATATAAGCCAGGTGGTGGCACCTGCCTGTGATCCCAGCACCAAGGCTCAGGCAGGGCCTGACATGAATTTGAAGGCCGCCTAGGTTACACAGTGAACTGAGGCCAGCCTGAACTACAAAGTGAGACTCTGTCTTAAAAACAAAAATAAAGTGCTGGCCAAATAGCTCAGTGGATTAAAGTGCAGGGACTGGAGGTTCAATCCCCAGGGCCTGTTGTGCCAGCCCCGCCCTACAGGCACCACCTTGAGGCACACTGAGATGACAATTGAGACTGGGCGTGGTGGCGCACCCATGTAATCCCAGCTCTTGGGAGGCAGCAAACCGGCAGATAACTATGAGTCTGATCTAGTAGTGAGACCCGGAACACCCTGTAGACCCTTCCCTAAAATACACACACACACAAAAAGGGGGGGGGGCGGGGAGATGGCCCAGTGGAATAAGTGCTTAGCTGGTAAGCACAAGGGCCTGCGTTCAATCCCTGGTTCCGACAAAAAAACAAAACAAAAAAAAAGTACTGACATGGAAAGATGTTAAAAAAAAGTAGGTTATAAAAAATATTTAAGAATACGTAAATAAAGCAATCTATATGTGTGTGTGTGTGTGTATATATATATATATATATATATATAATTATTATTTTTTCTATATTTAGGACAGAGTCCACAGGTTCTACAGGGTCTCACTACAGTAGAGTGGACTCCCAGTGATCCTCCTGTTTTCCGCCTCCCAAGTGCTGGGATTTCATGCACACAGGGTGGGGGGGATCGAACTCCAGCTGCTGCATTCTGCCTAAACAGGAGCTTTAGTTATATATTAAAATTGATACACCGATATTAAATGCATACAGAAATGCAAAATATGGAGCAAAGCAAAAACAATCTTGAAGAACAAAGCTGGAAGATTTATACTACTAGATTATGAAGACTTTTTTTTTTTTTTTGTGATACTGGGAATCAAACTCAGGACCCTGCACTTGTCAGGTGGGTGCTGTGCCACTAAATTATATCCTTGGCCTAAGACAACTTATTTTAAAGTTTTAGTAATTAACTTAGTGTACAACTAATTTCAGCACAGACAAACATACCAAACTGAACAGGAGAATCCAGAAGTAGATTTGTACATAGTCAATGGGTTTATGAAAATGGTGACAGGAAGTACAGAAAGAATGTTTTTTCTCCAATAAATTCAATTTTTACATCAACTGAATATTTATTTGAAAACAAATTTACCTTGACCCATACCTCACACCATGGACAAATGTCAGTTTTGTTTTTTTTGGTATTTAGGACAGGGTGTACAGGGTTTCACTGCGTAGATCGGACTCAGTGATCCTCCTCTTTCCAGCCTCCCAAGAGCTGGGATTACAGGCACATGCTACCATGCCCTGTCTCAATCACTGTCTGAGCATGCCCCTGGGGGTAGGGCAGCACAGCAGGCCCCAGGGAACGAACCCCTGGCCCATGCGTCTATGTAAGCAGGTGCTTTAATCTGCTGAGCTATTTGGCTGACCCCAAATGTTAGTTTAAATTGGATTTTAGGGCTAAATGTGTAGGGTCAAAAAATAAGACTTGTAGTTAATAAAAGAGCTTGAATATCTTTATTACTTTGGGGAAGTCAAAAATACTATAAAAATACTATAAATATTTTTAGGTACATAAAAAGTACTAACCACATGCCAGGTATGATGGTGCACACCTATAATCTCAGCACTTGGGAGGCTGAGGCAGGACAGGGCTCATTTTTGTGAGTTTGAGGCAGCCTAGTCTACATAGTTCAAAGCCTGTATGATCTATGCACAGTAAAACCCTGTCTCAAAAAAAAAAAAAAAAA